GGGAGCCGGAGGTGGAGGAGGAGGTGGGAAGGTCGGCGCTATGCGGCGGGAACCTGCCAAGGGGCACCAGGAGGTCCTCCCCGCGGAGGATCCGAAATCTGAAAGCGCGAAAAGGCTTGCAGTTGGAGGTGATGGCCAAGAGCTTTCTTCTCGGCCCCTTCCAGTTCCTCCGTAATTTCCTGGCGCAGCTCCGGGAAAAGGTGCACAAACTGCAGGCTCCTTGGTTCTCCAGCAGTACCACTCTCGGCATCGGTGAGGAGAAGACAGGAGAGCCCTAGAGGGAGCCGCATGGCGCTTTTCTTGAGTCTTGAAGGAGATCAGTTTAACAAGCAAGGGTTTGTGGGTGCCTAGTAGTAAATAATAGCAAGGTCCGAGTAGAAAGAAGTTGGTCAAAGATCTTGTCACTGAACCAGGGGAGAGAGATGGGGAGTATATTGGTTTGAAGGGCTGTCAGATCGCAGAGTGTTTTAAGGTCTAGGAGATTTATTTATTTATTTATTTATTTATTTATTTATTTATTTTTGAGACGGAGTCTCGCTTTGTCGCCCAGGCTGGAGTGCAGTGGCCGGATCTCAGCTCATTGCAAGCTCCGCCTCCCGGGTTTATGCCATTCTCCTGCCTCAGCCTCCCGAGTAGCTGGGACTACAGGCGCCCGCCACCTCGCCCGGCTAGTTTTTTGTATTTTTTAGTAGAGACGGAGTTTCACCGTGTTAGCCAGGATGGTCTGGATCTCCTGACCTCGTGATCTGCCCGTCTCGGCCTCCCAAAGTGCTGGGATTACAGACTTGAGCCACCGCGCCCGGCCAGGTCTAGGAGTTTTAAAGACTGAGGGGGAAGGATTAAGGAAAGAGGATGAGATTAAGATTCCAAGAGAGGAAATAATTAGTGGAGCAAGGCTTGGAATATTTGGGAGGGTAGAATTAAAGGCACAACTCTGAGAAGCTAACTGTGGAAAAGAGGAGAGAGAATTCCTTTTCTGAGATGGCAGGGAGTAGAAAAGCGCGGATTACTATATGGAGAAATGTTTAAGTGGAGATAAAAGAAGTTGGGAGTGCTGGGGTCTAATGGTCTGTTTCAGTGAAGTATGAGGCTGAGTCACCTTCAGAGGTGAGATTGATAGGATGCCCGGGTCCAGGGGACATGCTTCTGTCACAGCTTGGAAAGGGCATGCGATAAGCCCTTCAAGCATTTAGAATGCTGGCATCACTACACCGTACCTTTTTTTTTTCAGATGTGGTATGTGGGTTAAGGGAGGGAGTGAGAGACACAGAAAGATTTTGAGCATCTTTGGAAAGCTGGATGAATTTGGTAGTATATTTGACCTTTTCCTTATATATCATCTGAAGAGTTTTTGCCAGTGTATATAATTGTTAGGAGAATTAGAAATAGGATATAAATATAGTTGAATAGGATAGTCTCTGTGTATTTTAAAATCAATGAAGCCTAATAAACAGTTAATGAGCATCTTTACAACCATTTAAAATTTTCAATCTTTTAAAAATTATAGCAACCCCACTTGCAGACAGTCCAAAAATACACCATGGGCCATACTTTGCCTATCCTGATATAAAACAAGTAAATCTGAGAAGTATTTAAGATAAGCCCAGGACAGTTAGTAATATAGGAAAAGATCTGGATTAACATGGTTGAGAATTTCAACATTGCAATTTTTAAATTTTTTAAAATTTAATTTCTTCAATAATTATTGAATTAATTTGCATTTATTTTGTTAGCCAAGTGGAGTAATTTTTGAATTTTTAAGAGGCTACTATTGGTGGTATATAAGATGACTTGCCAAGTATATTTGGGATCACCATAAGAAATACCATTATAAAATCTCAGAGGGGAGGTAGGACTTCTGGAATAGCCAAGGAAATGCACTCCTCTATGAGGACAATGAAAATACTTGGAAAATTTTCAAAATCATTTTCTTCAAAACTTTGGAAATTAAGCAAAGGTTTACAACAATCTGAAGGGCATTAATTCAAGAAAAGCTGCTGAACCTCTATAAGAACAGCAATGTTTGTGGTGTTTTAACTTGTCCTATTCCCCACTCTTCTCTCTCCAGCTCCATGGTATCCTTGAAAACAAGCAATTCCCCAACCAAGCGGGCACAGGCTGCATTTGCAGCTCCTGTAAAAGCTCCATACCCAGAGCGGTGTCTCCCAGCCCCCTGGTGAAGTCTTACGTATACATGGGGCGCTGGTACAGGTGACTCCAGATTAGTCTCCTAGGCCATCTAGTAGCTCCTAGGTCTGGGCGCTTGCAAAGAGCTTGCAGTTCATCAAGGGTTGAGTTGCACAATGAGGCTTTTAGATGTGCTGCTGAGGAAGTGATTGCCTGTATTTAATCGTCTTTTGATGAATGCTAGGGAAACTGATCTAGAGTGGCTCCTCCTGGTTAGAACTAGTGAAGCATACTGTATATATTTACTTCTTTTAAAAATTTCATATAAAGGAATAGAAAATAATACTGATAAAACAAAACAAAAAAGGTCACAATCTTCCATAATTCCATCACTCTTACCAATTACCTGAAGTAAAAAAACCCTCTCAAGTCTTTCCCTTTGCTTGTCAAGCCCTGCTGCAAACAGGTAAGCTCTGTTCAGAATTTACTTTGTGTCCTGGATTTTTTCCTATGCTCATAGAGACAGGATTAGCTGGCCATCTTGCTTTGTGTGCTATCTTTCTAGACGTGTAAAATAACACATTTGAAATACTTGTTTTAAAGGTATTTTATAATAAAGCAGCTTTTAATAACTTTCCTTTTTTTCTTTTTTCTAGCTGTCTTTGTGGCAATTTTACATTGGTAAGATTTAGTTTCAGTTTGAAATTTTTAAAAACATTTGAATTAAAAATTGTCATCACTGTTTGCACACATTAAACCATAACTTCTGGCTATATTTGTAGAACGTCTTTATGTGTGCCAATTTATACATATATTTTGCTTTTTTACAAACCTAATATGTGAAACAGCATTTACAAAATAGATGCATTAGGGGAATAGTAACTTATGAATTAAAATATTTTTGCTTTACCAAATAATTCACCACGTTTCTTTAAATATCTAGCTTTTCTAGTGTATTTTGCATGTGTAGTTCATTTAAAACCCTCCTTTGTTTTATGGTAATTATATGTTGCTAGTGAAATCACTTTTTTTTTTTTGGGACAGAGTCTTGCTCTGTCTCCCAGACTGGCGTGCAGTGGCGCAATCTTGACTCACTGCAACCTCTGCCTCCCAGGCTCAAGTGATTCTCGTGCCTCAGCCTTTCAAATAGCTGGGATTACGGGTGTGCACCACCACACCCAGCCAATTTGTTGTATTTTTAGTGGAGACGAGGTTTCACCATGTTGGCCAGGCTGGTGTCAAACTCCTGGCCTCAAATGATCCACCTGCCTCGGCCTCCCAAAGTATTGGGATTACAGGCATGAGCCAGCCCACCCAGCCAGTGAAATAACTTTGGTGATAAAGTTTAGTAAACACATGCCAATTGGAAATCAGGTAAAAAAAAAGATAAAGGTTCGGCAGTGGTTATACAGAGTTAAATGGCTTTGAGTCTTTCAGTATGCAAGCCTGTGTACATTATTTTACAAAAGTGTTTACAAAAATTTGTAAAATAATACTTCCCTCTGGAATATTTTATTTTTACCTGGGCTCAGCGATTTCTACCCTTGGGAGGTATGAGATTTGCCCCTGTGTTCTGTTGACACAGTGCTGCTCTAGATATTTAGTTTGCAGGGAGATTTTGATGTTAGAACTGAGGCTGCAATGGTAGGGAATATTTCTGCAGTTTTTGGTACCCTGGCATATGTCCTACATATAAAGAAGGGTTAGTGGAAAACAGGGTTAATATATGGAACTTTGCTTTATTTTCAACTTCACTGGAAACTCATGACTACATAAGTTAGCTGTAGCACGATTATTGACTGCAGCTAATTTTGTTTATCACATATGCTCCTTTCTTCACTGCCTACAGCTGTTGATTCACTACTAAAATGTCTTCAAGCACACACCTGCATTCTTTGGCACTTGAAAGTTGATCCCTTATGTGATATTATACTTATTTTAAGTCTGCTTTGATTTAAAGTAATTTTATTCAAAATTATATTCCAAACCCTTTTCAACACTTATGGAGGTATTTCCCAAGGCTGGTAGATTAGAATCACTTGAAACTTAAAAAACAAACAACCTGCCTCTGTTCTTATTTAGAGGCCTGGGATGGAAGGAAGGGTGAAAAAAACCACAAGAATTTTAGTTATACAATTAAGTTTTTTTTTTTTTTTCCTTGAGACAGAGTCTCACTCTGTCGCCCAGGCTGGAGTGCAGTGGCATGATCTCTGCTCACTGCAACCTCTGCCCCCTGGGTTCAAGCAATTCTCCTGCCTCAGCCTCCCTAGCAGCCAGGATTACAGACATACACTACCATGGCTGGCTAATTTTTGTATTTTTGGTAGAGACAGGGTTTCACCATGTTGGCCAGGCTGGTGTCGAACTCCTCACCTCAAGTGATCTGCCCGCCTCGGGCTCTGAAAGTGCTGGGATTACAGGCATGAGCCGACACACCCGGCCACAATTAAGTTTAAAAACCACTGAGTTAAGGAATTTCAGGTGTGTGCCATACTGGATTATAAATGCCTAAAAACATGCAAATTATAAAAATAATATTATAACAATTTATTGTTTTCTTTTGTATGGCTTTCTTATCACTTATTTTAATGTTGGTTTTGAAACTTGTTCTATTATAATATGATACTTCATTTTTTTCTAGGTTACATTTAGTAACACTTTTTGAAAATGATCGTCATTTCTCTCACCTCTCATCTTTGGAACGGGAGATGAGTTTTCGCACTGAAATGGTTAGGTTTCTTTTTCTAACGAATTAATTTGTGGTTTAAGAATAGCGAGACTATGAGGTAGAAATGTATTAGGCATTGAAACGAACTTTTGGTGAACTGCACTGTTTCATAAGCTATAACTCAGGTTTATTATTTAAATAGTAAAGTGTTTGAGATTATTTTTCTGTTACTTATTTCATTATCTCTCACTCTTTCCTAATGCAGACTTCTTTTTAAGATAATAAAGATGAATTATAATAGGTGAGGAAGGAGGACAAAGGAAGCACTGAGGAAGTGATAAAGGGGAATGAAATGAGATGCTGTCAGAAATTGCTTTCTCTTTGGCTACAGTTGGGAGATCCCATGTTTCACCTGGGTCTTTTAATGATAATGATTATTATTTGGCTCTCTTTTGGTTTCAAGATAATCTCTTTCAAGAGATAACTTTTGATATAATTTTAAAATAATTTTCTTTTTTTCGATACTTAATCTTTAAAATGGAGTTTTCTGCCATACACATCTCACGTAATTATTGTGAGGAGTAAGTGGGATCGCGAATGCCAAAATTGCACAGTTTTACATTTAGAAGACACCACAACCGTCCATCTTCCAGATCTGCTTGCAGCTGGTCGGGGGCCTAGTGAAGCATTGAAACTTGTTCTCCTTACTCTGGCCATTGCTTTTTGTTTAAATTATGGTAAAATTTAGATTTAAATTTGTAATAAAAAATTTTAATATTTATAATTTCAGCATACATCTCAGTGACATTAAGTACATTCATGTTGTCTTGCAGCTATTACCACTGTCCACATCCAGAACTTTTTGCTATCCCAAACAGAAACTCTACCCACTAAACACTAATCACACCCAACTCTATTTTCTGTCTCTATGAATTTGCCTATGCTAGGCCCCTCAGTCACTGCTTTTTAATTTTCATCCCTATATTGCCCCTATAAAGTTTCAAAGCATTGGATACATTAACATATGTATGACATTTGAACATTTTAAAGGTATTTCCAAAGACAGAATATAAAATATTATTAAATAAAGAGTGTAACTGTGGCAGTCTGGACTTTGGTGACAGATCGCTAGATTCTAATAGCAGTTCTGTGCTTTACTCTATGATGGCTAGTCAGGTAACCTCTCAGATTCTCAGTAATCTGATCTGCTCAATAGAAACAATGCCAACCTTAGAGGGGTTTAGGGAAAATGAAGGGGGATAATGAATGGCAACACATAGCAGAATACTTAACACAAAACAATAGCTGTTATTAGTAACTTATTTATATATTTAATATTTCCGTAAATACAGACTTTTGCATATTAGATATCCTTTAATTATTGTATTGCTTTGTTATCCTCCTAAGCAAAAAGGAAAATTCTTTGTGAACTCATATTTTGTCTCCCAACTACAAGGTAACGGCCTTTCAGACACCAGCTAAAACAGACCTTTAATTTAGTAGTTACTCATGTTGGATGAGGCAGATTATAGCATATAGCATTTTTTAGGGAGAGTGCATTTAAAACAATGTGACCCTTTTTTGCTTTTAGATTTTAGGAGCGAAAGCAAGAAATTGAAGGGGAAATAAGACACAACATGCTGTTGTTTATCCATGAATTTTAACTCAACAGCACTTTTACTATCCTAATGAAGCCTTTATTTTATATGCTGAAGTGTAAGACACTAAAATAATCTGCTTTTTAGTATATAGCATTTGTGAGCAACAATAGTCAATCGACATTGAGCTTTCACTTTGCACAGAGGATTTGATGGAGCTATGAAGTAAGCCAGAAGCATTGGATTCCTTGCTCATGATGCTTATGGTCATTATATTTCCTAAGAGCATGGGAAAAAAAAGAAGTAATTTTCTATATGCAAAGTTGTACAGAGGCATGAAGACATCCCTGTTTATGATAGAATTAATCAGATGTCAACCTTCAAGCATCTCAAATGTGGGGGATAAAACCAGATTTGGGAAAATTAAAATATACTGTCTACACCTTTTAAGACATTATTAGAGAAACTTTTTAAATCGTTTGACCATCCCTCCAACTCTTTAGTTTGAAAGCCTATAGAAAATTTGAAAGAATAGTACAGTGATCACCTGAAAATATGTGCTTTTTAAAGTCCAAGAATGCAAAACAGTGAGGAGTAATTAGGAAATCTTATTATTGACCGTTTTTTTCCAGAAAATAAATGTTCTAAAAAAGTGATAAAAATAAATATTTTAAAGTTTTAATTACATTGACAATATGTGCCTTTTTTTTTTTTTAATAAAGGGACTTTATTATTCCTACTTCAAGACCATTATTGAAGCACCTTCATTTTTGGAAGGACTGTGGATGATTATGAATGACAGGCTTACTGAATATCCTCTTGTAATTAATACAGTAAAACGCTTCCATCTTTATCCAGAGGTGAGTCATCATTTGAGACAAATATTATTTGTAGAGTGATCCTCTTTATCAGATAAAAGTAGTCAGCACAATCTTGTTAAGAAAGGGAGGGGAGCTTTCAGGTGTATTAATTGTGTGTATCCTTACAGTTGAGCAGAATGTCGTAAGTTCCTTCGTAAAATTTAAAGACCCCAGAAACTGTTCTTGCATGAACTCAAAGAATGAACCTTAGTGTGTAAATAATGGCCAGGGTAATAGACAAACCAAATGGAAAATACAGTCATGGGAGCCAAATTCTAAATAGGGATGGGCTTTTGGCTTTGGACACCTCATAGATGGGCACGATGACCACATGAAGGGACAGTGAGAGTGATGAGCTTGAATAGTGATCTTGGAGTTATGTTAGTAAAGTAAGATTTCTTTAGTCACACAGCCAGAAATCTATTACTATCTTCCAACACTTAGCCTAAAAGAGTATAGTTGTTATAGTAGTCTGTAAATGCTAGAAATTTGAAAAATGGAGACAAAATTAGTGAACTCAGTTTGTGAACTCAAGATAAATGCTAAATTTGACACCATGGTAAATACTACTGTTGAGTTTAAAGTTGTCTCAGAATCCAGCATATTAATTAAAAGTTTCTGCTTTCTAATCCTTTATTCATATTTTTATAGCTTTTAAAAATTACTATTCTTTAGATTTTGAAATGCTTGAAACTACAGAGACTTAGAAAATAATATTCAAATATGTGTGATCAACCATCTAAAATAAATAAATGCTGATCTTTGTCATTTTTGCATCAGCTATTTTAAAATAATTAAAATATTATAAATACCTTTGTTCTGCTTCTAGTCCAACTTATACCTTTATTAAAATTTGGTGTATGTAACCATCCAATCTCTGTTTTCAGAGATTGTTTTATTATGTGCTTTAAGTCCACATAAATGATCTCACACTGAATGTGTCACTGTAGGATTTTTTCTTCAAAATTATATTTTTGGTCGGGCGCGGTGGCTCAAGCCTGTAATCCCAGCACTTTGGGAGGCCGAGATGGGCGGATCACAAGGTCAGGAGATCGAGACCATCCTGGCTAACACGGTGAAACCCCGTCTCTACTAAAAAATACAAAAACCTAGCCGGGCGAGGTGGCGGGCGTCTGTAGTCCCAGCTACTCGGGAGGCTGAGGCAGGAGAATGGCGTGAACCCGGGAGGCGGAGCTTGCAGTGAGCTGAGATCTGGCCACTGCACTCCAGTCTGGGCGACAAAGCGAGACTCTGTGTCAACAAAACAAAACAAAACAAAACAAAACAAAACAAAAAAATTATATTTTTGAACTTTCTGTATATATATATTTCTTTAATTTTAACCATTTTATGAATTGTAAAGTTTATGTATTTCCCCATCTTAATATATTATTTCCAATTTTTTTATTACAAGCAATGTAATCTCAAATGTGCACTTCTGTGTGCTTTTCTTCTGTATATGTGCAGTATTCTGTCTAGGATATATACCTGGAAGTGGACTTGCTGTTATAGAGTGTGTGCTTCTTCAGCTTTACCAGATATTGCTAAATTGCTGTCTGAAGCAAATGTAGCAGTTCACACTGCTGTCTAGAATTTTCTCATATACATATTAGATTTTGAATTGTCCGACCCTGTGATTTTTACTCTTATGATGGCTGTGATATGCTTTTTTGTTTTAATTTGTGCTTCCCTTACTATTTATGGGGATAAATATATTTCCATGTTTAATAAGCATTTGGATTTGTTCTTCTATCAATGACATATATAAATCTTTGTCACCAAATCAGCTTTTTTGAGGTATGACTTACATGTAATAAAATGTGCCAATTTTGAGTGTACCATTCTCTGAGTTTTGACAAATGTATGAAGCTATATATCCATCACCACAATTGAATTACAAAACATTTTTAGAATGCCAAAAAATGCTTCATTGTGGTAACTGTCTTTTCCCCCGTTGAATTAACTGTCTTGGTATGTTCGTTGAAAATTGATTGACCACATTATGTGTGAATCTGTTTCTGGACTCTATTATTCTCTTGATCTATAATTATGCCAATACCACACTGTCTTGATTACTGTCTTGATTGAAATAAATCTTGAAAGTAGATAGTTCTCTAACTTTGTTTTTCCTTTTTAAAATTGCATTTCTATCTAAATGTTAGCGTCAGCTTATTAATTTCTCAAAAAAAAAACCTGCTGGGATTTTGGTTGGTATTATGTTGGATTTGTACATGTATTTGGGAAGAATTGACATCTTAACAATATTGAATTTTCTAATCCATGATCATGGTGTAGATCTCCATTTTGTTGATTATTTTTAATTTGTCTCAGCAATGTTTTGTTTTTTTCAATGAACAGTCTTTCCCAGTACTCTTTTATTATAAATTGTATTATTTAAAAATTTTTATTATTCCAGTTTTTGTTGCTTTTGTATAGAAATATAGTTGATTTTGAATATTAACTTTGTACCTGCATCTTGATGAAGTCAGCGGTTCTAGTAGCTTTGTTATAGAATCCTTTGGATTTTTCTATGCACATGATGATATAGTCTGTAATTAAAAGCAGTTTTATTTTCAGTAGGTATACCCTAAGTGTTTTTAAAACAGCTTTATTGAGGTATAATTGACATATGATAGCTGGTCATATAGATGAAGTGTAAAGTTTAATTAGTTTTGGCCCACCTGTAAAACCATCACCAGTCAAGGCAATGAGCATATCCCTCATCCCAAAGTTTCCCTGTGCTCCTTGGTAATCCCTCCTTCCTTCATCTCTCTTTGGCCACATCCCATCTCTAGGAAACCACTAATATTCTTTTTGTCATTATGGTTTAGTTTGCATTTTCTAGAATTTTATAGAAATAGAAATAGAGTTGTTCTGTGCCTAGGTCTTAATTTATGCGATTGACTGAGTGATGACACAGATAGATCAGTGCCACCAAAAGAAGAATTTATGATTAATACTTCCATGGAGAAGAGGACAAGTCACATCACACAGAGCCACAGAAGAGATACAGTTTGGTCAGGCAGAAGCAGTATTGAGGGTAAAGCCTAGGCATCACTTTTATTGGGGTGTCTATGGGAAAGGCAAAACCGGGCAGAATTTAAAAAAGAAAATAAACAAATTGAAAGACAGTTGACAAACTGGGAGAAGATATTTGTTTGGATTCTTTTTGTTTGTTTTGAGACAGTCTCACTTCATCGCCCAGGTTGGAGTGCAGTGGCGTGATTTTGGCTCCCTGCAGCCTCCGCCTCCCAGGTTCAAGCGATTCTCCAGCCTCAGCCTCCGAATAGCTGGGATTACAGATGCGCACCACCATGCCTGGCTAATTTTTGTATTTTTAGTAGAAACAGGGTTTCACCATGTTGGCCAGGCTGGTCTCAAACTCCTGGCCTCAAAGCCAGGCTGGTGATCCTCCCGCCTCGGCCTCCCAAAGTGTTGGGATTACAGTTGTGAGCCACCATGCCCGGCCAGGAGAAAATATTTGTAATATACTTTGGAGATGAAGGGTTAATACACCTAATATATAAAGAACTCTTAATTCTTTATATATTTAGCTTTTGGAGGCTTCAGGTGTCAGTTAGGTGATGAAGAGAGCTGGAATGATGACACTCTCATTCCTACAACAAGGAAAATAGCTGGACAAACTGCAAGATAACACCTTTTCTTGAATCCTTCAGAAAACTGAGGTCAGAGGACAACCAACGCAAAATTTCAAGAAGGACAGGTGCCTGCAGAAGGCAATAGGAACTGAGCATTCTGGAATAGGGACTGCTTGACTGAGATAGATGCTTTTGAATGCCATATAAGCTGGTACAAAGATTAAACCAGAAATTTTTAATGAACAGCATACAGGCTTATTGTGAGCTGGCATGAAATGTGAAGGTGAGCAGGCTCTCTCAGGGAAGACTGGGGAAGTATTTAGAGAAAGCTTTCCTATGATGCTGGTTAGGGGACAGGAAAAGCAATCATTGCTCAGACTCTGCTTACGCCTATGTTGTGAAATCTTTCCTAAGGAAAAGAAAGCCGTGATCTGCAGGGAGAACGGTATCAAACCCATTGTCTGAGGACACTAGTGGGTATTCAGTGAAGCTGGTGAAAGACAACAGGCAGGAAACAAACAAAAAAACCCCTAAATGTTAAAAAACAGTCATATTCCTTGAAGAGGGAACACTTACGAAGGGTACAGCCCCCAAGTCCCAAATTCACAGTACCTGCCTAAGACTGAGGCTTAATTGGAACATCAGAAAACCTGTCACTCTTCCCCCATTACATTAACAAGCCTTTGGTAAAAATCACAGTGGAATGTGACCAAGTGAGTTTTGCAAGGCATTTTCTTTCTAGGGAGCAGCACAAAGGAAAACCCAAAACCAAGTTCAAAACAAGGTACCATTAGAGGAATTTGAAATCGCTAGTGTCCATAGCAGCAACAAACTCCCGCTTTGGTAACTATAGCAATTACAAACTTCAAATCCAGCCCACCCTAACTAGATTAACACAAATCCCTACAATAAAGACGTGACAGTAAGAAAGATGTTCTTATTTTCAAGCATAAAAATACTGACCTCTGTGCCTACTGTCTTATACAATATGTCTAACTTTCAGCAAAAATTTTGAGGCATACCTAAAGGTAAGAAAAAGCACAGTCTGAAGAGATAGAGCAGCCAGACCCAAAGAAGATACAGATACTGGAACAACTGGACAGGAGATTTAAGTAACTATGATTAATATTTTAAATACCCAAATGGAAAAGACAGATGATATGCAAGATCAGATAGATAATTTTAGCAGAGAGTTGGACACTATAAGAATCAAAGGGAAATGCTAGAAATAAAAAAAAGAAGTAAAAAATGCCTTAGATGGGCTCATCAGCAGACACAGCACAGCAGAAGAAATAGGTCAGTAGGAATGCAAAGAAAAAAAAACGTAGAGGAAGGAAACGATAGAGCATCTAAGAGCTGTGACACCATATCAAATATTCTAATATATGCATAATTAGAATC